AGCAATAAAGAAAAAAAAGAGGAACACACACACACACATAGAGAGAGAGAGAGAGAGAAAGAGAGAGAGAGAGAGAGAGAGAGAGAGAGAGAGAGAGAGAGAATCCCTGCTTTAAACACATTGCTCATACTTCCTTTTGAATATTGCATAAGAAGCATGTTTCAGACCTGAGGAACCTTTAGCTGAACAGCAGCCATAGGTATTCAACATGTGTGTGCTAAACACCATGAGCACTAAGTAGATAGAGAAATCTTTTCTTCAGTAGCTTCTGTCCTCAAACTTATTCATCCACACATTAAATTCTCCACACCTGTGTGCATATGTGTGTGTGTGCGCATGCCTGTGCCTCAAGTGTACCAACTGTGGATTTGCAGTCTTGAAGAAGACCAAGATTAACTCCTTTCATTTCTCTCCTGAATAGCTAGAGATTTTTTATAACAAAAACACATTTTATGTGTTTAGGATTATTGTTCTGTGTGAGCCTTCTTTACAGTCATTCTTTAAAAACTACAAGTACAAAGCAAACAAAACAGAAAGGATTATATTTTCAAAGTATATAGGTCATCTGTGGTGATATTTAATTTGTGCTCTAATAAACAAAGCTTGCATGGAGATCAAAGGAAAAAGCTAGAAACTATGTTAAGCATAGAGGCTGGGCAGTGGTAGCCCATGCCTTTAATCCTAGCATTTGGGAGACAGAGAGTCATCTAGATCTCTATGAGTTCAAGGTCACATTGGGAACAGAGCCTGGCATGGTGGCACACACCTTTAAACTCAGCACTAGTTGACCATAGAAGTCTGAAGGTCTATACTGACAGACAAGAAGTGATAGAACTGGAAGGGAAGAGGAAGTGATATAGCTGGGTGGAGAGAAAAGTAAGATGACAGAGCTCAGAAAGGTATATAGGCATGAGTGTACAGGAAGTAGTTGTCTCTTTGGCTGATGATTTCATAGAAGTAAGACATTCCTGGCTTGCTCTCTGATCTTTCAGCTTTCACCCCAATACATGGCTCCAGGTTTTTTTTATTAATAAGACCGTTTAGCAATTCATGTTACAGTTATGTCTTAACTAGAATATTAAAACTTCTTGGGCCAGATTTTCTTCAAAGAATGGGGGAAAAAAGCGTCTTTTAACCCCCAAAAATAGCTTAGTATTTTTTATCAAGCTCTGTAAATAAAAAATTGTTTTAAACTTTAACTGAATATTGTAGCATTTAAATTAACTTTTAGTCATTATGTTATTAAATTAGAAATGTCTAAGAAGTAAAAACTTTAAAAGAGATTATTAATTTATTAGGTTTAAATTGGGCCAAAAAGTGATCATTTTTAATGTTTTAAGAAATATATCATGGTCCATTTATTAATTTTGTTATCATTTTACACTTCCTTATGTAAATATTGTTTCATAGTTTATTTTTAATTTAACATAATATGTCCTTTTAGGCTTTCATAAGTTGAGCTCAAAAAAAAATGAAGGAAGAGCCAGGTGCATACACATTGGTGGATTTCACACAAATTCCAGTACTTAGGAAGCAAATGTTGGAAGAACAGAAATTTGAATATATACAGGGATATACAGTGAGACCTGTCTCCTCCCCATCAAAAATAATGAAGGAAATAATAAATGTAAATACTAAGATATTTGATATTTCTTGAGAAAAATGAAGAATTAGTTGATCAAATTAAATATATTTTTTATGATTTAAAAGATAGCTTGGAAACACAAAAAGCCACATCATTAAATTTGGGTTAAAGACAGAAATTCTAATTTCAGAGTGCTGGAAAACTGGCTGAGCATGTAAGAGTATACTCTGCTATTTCAGCAGACTTGAATCCAACTCCTAACATCCATACAGTGTAGCATACCACTGCCTGTGACAACATCATTATGACAACCACCTGTAACCTGTAAGCTCCAGAGGGTCTGGTGCCTTCTTCGGCCCTCTAGAAGCATTCTTACATACATGCACACATGCATAAATATATATGACACACTTACACA